AATAATAGGTTTGTGTATTTCTCACATCAAAGCCAGCCCCCACAGAATCTGCCTTAAAAAATTCTGGCCAATGAGGAAATTTTTGTAGTTCTGTTACTGAAAGTGATTCTATTTCACATGAGTGGTGTTTATATGCTTATATATAATAATATATAATATATAAAATACATATATTGTATGTTTTATTTTTATTCTAAGATATGAGAGCGCCACAGATGCTGGAGTTAGCCTGCAGTGGGACAACCGGTGTGTCCCCGGCGTCCCTCGCAGAGAACTGATCTACCTGCCTCATCAAACCGAGTGGACCACTCCCGCACACACCCCTCACACCCTCACCCCTCACGCTCTTACCCCAACCCATGATCAGAGCCCAGTGGACGCCGAAGGAGAAGGGGACAGTGGTTTCCAGGAGGCCGGCGGCTTCATGGCACCAATCTGCCCTCCTTTAGTCTCACCGGAACGAGTAAAAGAGGTGCTGAAGTTGGGCTCCAGTAATCATCTGGTGCCCATGGTGGGACCACAGCAGACCCCTGTAGAAGATGAACTCTCCACCACCTATAAGGACAAAGCTCGACTAGCCAGTGAGTAGTAGTTTACTTTTTATTTAGTTCTTGATCAAAATGTGCCTGTTTGCAGATTGACTTTCTCTCACTTTGAGCAATAAATATCAAACTGAGAGAGCACCTCCCTCTTCATTAGCTAAAGTGTGCTCAAGCCGAAAAGAGTTTTAATCATTTGGCACGATAATGCACATCTTTGGGTCTTCATGAAGACATCTGCTGAAGCCAAAACACATCTGATGATGCTGAGAGAATCTTGCTGTGGGTTTCTAAATAATTTTGCTAGATTGCCCTCTAGTGGTCACTTCTTGTAACTAGCCTATCTTTATGAGGTGAGATAAACCAGATATCTACTGGCAGACATTTTATCCCACCTCCCCTCTACATCCTGGGTCTCCTGTAACAGCAGTCTCTCTCTTCAGTCAGTATTTAGAGCATTTGCCTCAGTAGCTGTTTTTATAGTTGTTGAAAGTTTTGATTGACAAACTAAGCACCATCTTGATTTACAGATCAGTTAAAAAAACACATAAATACTTAGAGGTCTAACTTATTTTCCAGTTCTTATCTCAATAAAAAAGTTATCATGGCTCCTAAAATGCTGAAATGATTTTTTAACTTTAAGCAGTTTGGTTTCAGCAGAGACTGGTTGAAGTAAATAAATATGCTCTGACTGAGTTCTGTTTTCAGATGAGTGACCGCTGCTGTAATAAATGATCTGTCATCACGCTCAGGAGCCCAAAGACCTGAATAACTTTAACGTAAGGTGAGGGCTTTACTATAGGACAAAAACGATGGCAGTGGCATCTGGGGATCTGCCCTTTCTCATGTTGCAAACACACACACACACACACACGCCCACACACACACTATGACTTCAGCTGTGGATTGTTGGCTAACATTCTGTGTCTTTGTGGATCAACAACTGGTACATCATGAACTCACCTTCCACTATAATCTACAGCTGGCTTTGTGAATACAAGAACACACACGTGACGCACACTCTCAGTGAGACTGCAGTTTAAATATGTGGTGATGGGTGTCCCCGTCTGTGTGTGTGTGTGTGTTTGAGACAGAGCGGACAGGTGTTTGATGCCCGTCAGACAGGAATAGGGGGCTGACATCATGCGCCGGTTTGGGTTTCTGAAAACAGACAAAGGTCTTTACATGGGCCGTGCTCTGGGAGCGGAGCGGACGGACACTAAAGGGGTCTCCACTCAGAGCAGGTCTGGACTCTGTTAGGGTGTGTGTGGGAGTGTCTGAGGGAGGTTAAGGACACCCACACACTCACGGTGAGGAGATGAAAGACCTCACATCTCCTTCACGTTCAGAAAAAAGTGGACACACCATTCCACACACAGTGTATGCAGGTAAGACTCATTCTCTTAAATAACTTGATTTGAACATGGCTATAGAGAGACTTTATTTCAGATTAAGTGAATTTTATTTAAATGTGCTACWTTATTAAATATTGCACATTTGATAGTTGACTTGTTTACATCAGTTGAAAGCAAGTTTAACAATCTCTTTAATTCTTGTTATTAGCTCAAAACTTGGTGGAAACAATCGGCAGATGTTAGTAAAATTTAAATAGCTATTTAAATTTGTAGATGCAGGATAAAAGTGGATGATTTGTCACAAAAATCAGATTAGATGCTCAGGTCAAAATTTATCTCCTAAAAATATCTATTATCTAACCTCTACAACTAGTTAACATCCAGGTTAAAATCAAAAGTGAACTGATTTTTGAAAACACAAAAGTTACTAATTTGGTTAATTTTACAAACATAGTGCTAAAACACATCATATTTTCATTTTAAAGAGGGTGGGGGGTATTGTTCTATAACACAATCAAGTAACCATGTTACCAGTTGTGCAAATGCTGTATATATCACAAATAAATGTGACTTTGCATCATAGTCTATCTAAATGCCTTGAAATTTGCATCTGTCTCTTTAAGCACTTCCTACCGTTTCCAATGCTCCCACTTCAGCACGTCTTTACAACAATGCTTCAGGGGAGGGGTGGTCTGTGGGGCGGGAGCTCGGCTGCAGACTGAGCTCCAAGGAGGAGCTATGTACAAATAGGCGGGGCTTTGTACCTGCAAGCGTTTAGGCAGCTCCACATGAGGAGATTCAAGGATTTCTCAAACATGCGTGAATGAGTCAAAGCAACACTCTTGTTTGATGAGAGAATGACCTTATAACATGATTTAAAGCTTTTAAAAAAGTCAATTTTGCATAACACCTCCCTTTAAATACGTCTCTAATTCTGTTCTGAAACTCTCTTTCTTCTTTAGTTAAAGCCTATAGGCTAAAATGTTAATTATTTTAGTTAAAATGTTAATTATTTGAGTTTCTCTACACACATTGAGAGCTAAAAACAGGCACAATTTGGGAAGGACAAACACTGTGATCTAACCTTCTCAAAAAGTGTGACTCAACTTTGAAGAGCAGCAGGAATTCTTTGTTCTAAATCCACAACACACTCCCCTGTCTGTCACTGGTAATGCTCATTGCTGCTCCTCGCTGTGATAATATCCTAGAAATCAGCCACAAGCAGCAGTTGCTTCCATTATTTGTTGCCTGCTCCTTGTTTTGGATTAATCAGAACTCCCATCACCACCCCTCTCCCGCGTTTCTGCTCGTTTCAGCACATTTATTTTTGGTCTCTTGCTCTTTTTATCCCTTCCTGTCTTGCAGAGTTGCAGCGTGGGGAGAGCGTGGTGGAGAAACAGGTGAAAGAAGCTCGTTCTAAATGCCGCTCCATCGCGTCTTTGCTGACTGATGCTCCCAACCCCAATTCCAAAGGGGTGCTTATGTTCAAGAAACGCAGGCAGAGAGCCAAGAAGTACACACTAACCTGCTTTGGCAAAGCTGAGGGAGACAAAGGAGGGGAAACAGAAGGAGAAACAGGGGAAGAGACAGAGGAGGAAGGGGGAAGTTTAATCCTGACCGGCTCAGAAGTAGAGGAAGACGGATACTCTGGATCGTTTGACGCTACGTGGGATTCAGGTTATCTTGATCTGCTGGAGAAGAGAAGCTCTGCCTGCCCATCAGCTACTCCAACAACGCCAAATTGTAGCACAGAAGTGGACACTTCAACTTATCCAACCCCAGGACTTGAGACGTTTGAAAATCAAAACCCAGGGTTGGAGAGCTCAGCCAATCACGGCTCAAAGGTGGAGAGAAGCATCAAGAAGCAGACGATCAAAACCCAGATGTCTCCTCCGGCTGTGGCGCTAACCAATGGGGGTTCAGTTGCCATAAGCCGGGGCAGTGTTGTCCTGAACCCAACCTCCGACACACCCCCTCCAACTCCAAATGGGCCTCAACACAACCCCAGTAATAACACTGCTAATGCTGATTTCAGTCCAAACCCAAGTGTAGACCTGCAGAATAATTCCACCTTTAATCCCAACGTCCTAAACCGCACCGCCCGCCCCTTCGCACCCGGCTCGACCCCTTCCCGTGCGTCTGTAACCTCTGTGATGTTTCGCCCTCCCCAACCCAAACCCACACCCCTAACCATGGCCCCCAAACCCGTGGCTGCAGTCTCTATGGTGACAATCGCGCCCACTCAACATCCTCCGGGGCCAGACGCGAGGAGAGCAGTGTCTAGCACTTCCCTGTATATCGCTCCGAGAAATAGCAGCAGTAACACTTCCACCTCCATTAACTCCCACCCGCCAGCTCTTTCACCTCTCTCCTCTCTGTCTTCAACACCTTTCTCTCCACCCCCTTCTACCAATCCACCACCTGCTTCGCACACTTCCCCCTCAAGCCCAGTCTTGCCTTCTGCTCAGATGTTTTCTCCTCCACCGTACCATCCTCCTCCTGTTTCAGCTCCTCATCATATCCCAACAAATCCCCCTTCAGGTTTGACTCGGGTCTCCTTCCCTGCTCCCCCTGCCAGCCAAACCTCTCCATCTGTCCTGTCGTACAATGACACGACAGGAGCAACGACTTCAACATCTCCCCCCCGGGCTCCTCTTAATGACTCACTGGTTACACGCGAGCAGCGCATTTCGGTCCCGGCGGCTCGCACCGGCATCCTGCACGATGCTTGTTCTCGTAGCAACAAGAAGCCAATGTTCAGCGCACTCAAAAGCAAAGATGTTTCTCCGAACCCAGACTTGCTGTCGATGGTTCAGAACATGGACGACCGCTTCGTGCGAAATGTCGAAACCACTGCTCCCAGTGGGGAGGCTGGTCACGAATCAGGGCCTGAAGAAGACTGGCTGAGGCTCGGGGCAGAGGCCTGTAACTTTATGCAGGCTCAGCGAGGACCTAGGCCACCGCCCGTTGCTCCTAAACCACAGGCTCCTCAGGTGCTGCAGCTCGCGGGAAAAGGAGGCCAGCTGTTTGCCAGAAGACAGAACCGGATGGATCGATACGTTGTGGAGCGATCTCCATCTGTCGCGGCAGCGCCTTACTCACCTGCTCAAACCAGGGAGCCCTCGCCCACACCTTCCCTCCCTGCCACCTGGAAGTACTCCTCCAACATCCGTGCTCCACCCCCCATTAGCTACAACCCCCTCCTCTCTCCTTCATGTCCTCTAAATGCCCAGAAAAAGCCTGAAGTGAAAACCTCTGGGACAACAAGATCCAAAGGGCAGAAAGGAGGCATCAAGCCTGTGGACATCATGAAGCACCAGCCCTACCAGCTTCAGTCCTCCCTCTTCAGCTACAGAGGTGGTGTTCCCCAGGACACCTCCAACCATAGTCAGCAGAGAGGTGGCCCACAGAAGACAGCACGAGTTTACGAGGTGAAGCGATTTTCAACTCCGCCTCCAACAGCCACGGGGCCCACCCTCAAAGTAATCGTACCCCGTTCCGCCACCACACTCGGGGAGCCACTGAGGTACTCCGATGCCATGCTTTCTCCACCCCCCATTGGTGCCACACCGTTCCAAAACCAACATCCATCACCTCAACCTCACCAGCCTCTGTGGACCTCCTCCCCGCTGTCTTCTCCAGTACCACCGCCCCCCACCTCCCCACTCCCACAGCTCCCCACCTTTTCCTCCCCACCTGCCCCAAACCCAGTCCAGCCGCTGATATTTCCCCAGCATCAGCCCTCAGCTGCTCAGCCGGCCAATTTTAAAAGTGCCCCGGATCTAAGTCCTCTGTGTCCCACCAGTTCCTCCCAGCAGAGATCCAGCAGCTCTCAACTTACCAGGGTTCCCAGGCCTCGGTTCAGCACTTCCAACTTAGGTCTGCAGCCTTGTGTGTGGCGTCCAGGATCCACTATGCACTGAACAGAGCTTCAGACGGAACAATTCAGAGCTCTGTGGGAGCAAATATCCACGTTTAAGTTTTCTTCTTGACGGCAATTTATTGGTAGTATTATCATTACATCATCCACATTTTGTCACAAGGTCTAACTGCACTAGTCTCACATGTAGCAGATTTTAGTGTTTAATCTTGTTCAGCCTTTATATCCCATTCATTTGGTTGAACATTATTTAAAGGGAACATTTAGTCTGAGGGCAGAACTTTAGAATGGAAACCTAAGAAGTGTCTAAGAAAGGAATATCAGTTATAGATTGACTGTGATTAAAAGGAATATTTAAGGGAATTTAAAACAATCTGTAAATATTATTCACAAGGTAAAGTTTATTAATAAAAAAGAAGAATAGAGGATGTGTCAGGAGAAGAATGTTTTAAGAGAAAGGCAATAAGAAATGAGAAACTTTCAACAGGAAACAACAGAAAAAAGGTTTGCTATGTTTCAGGGTTAGAACTGGAATAATTTTTACATTTAGTGATGTCCTATTTGTTGCTGTCTGACAATAACACGTTAAACAAATTGTTTTACTAACAATATTTCACTCTTATTAATGTTTTGAAGTGTTTGTATCTGGTGGAATTGATTTTTTGAGCGCTTGCTTTGTTTTTGGCAGGTAATTTTAGAAGAAAAGTGTTTTACTGCAGACTTTTTGTTTCTCATTTGGTGATACGAAACACGAGATATATGTACAGCGTGTCTGTTTAGCTGCGATTCTTTCCCACAGAACGATGGCGTCGAATAAAAATAGACATGACTCACCTCAGCTGTCATTCTGTTTCTCCCTGTCACCACCCACTTCTACACTCAGCCACACTATCCCCTCCCCCACTCGTTAGCTTCACTTTTTTTTCTTTTTCCTTTGATTATTTCTGACTTATGAATCCAAACTGATTTAAAATCTATTTCAACAGCAGTAAAGGTGTATGGTGATTGTGTTTACACTTTCACCACGTGGAGGCACTGCAGGATTTGCCATATAAACATGTTATGGCACCACAGTTTATTGCCTTTTCCCTTGCTTCATCTCAGGTTTTATGGTGACAGAAAGTCATCAACATTTTACAATAATCCCTACATCTTTTATTTATTTATCTATATCTTAGCTGTAAACGCAGAGCATATTTGGCATGCGGAGAAGCTCAGTGGAATGATAATTATGTTTTTATAAAGGTTCTTTTTATTTAGTTTGCTGTTTTAGCATCAGTGTTTGCTGCTCCTGTTGACATTGTTTCCTGTAGGACTGTTGGCCTACATTTCAAAGGAGCTTAATAACATCCTTTTAATGGCTCTGGAGCTGTGAAACCAAACCAGAGCGACAGAGAGAGAGATCTAACCTTCGACCCGTGATTAGGAACAGTTGGCAGATGGGGCTAACTTTAGTTCTGTGCAGGTCTAAAGGTAAGTTTCTCTGCTATGCATCTGGAAAGGAAAACAAATACAAACAAAGTCTGTTATTATTAACATTATTGTTAAATATATAAAGAATAATTTTCCTGATTTAATCCTAAAACCAAGCTTTCAGCCTGAAACAAACTATCAACCTAGTTGGGATGAGTGTTTGGTCCCCTCAAATTGTTGGCTCCCACTAATATAGTAAAACAAGTTCACAAACACACAACCCATTTCACCTATTTTTGGAGTGGTTAATCTCTATTTGGCTTGATGCTAAACTCTTAATTCTGATGGCTTTTTCAAAATGTGATTGAGAGCAAAGAGGAAGTGGGAGCACACAGAGCCTCATACATCCTGTCACCATGTTTCTAGGTCAGCAGGGTGGAGCATTTTGGGTCAGGGATAAAAGGAGGGAGACTGTGGACAAGTAACAGTCATTTTCAATCTCGTGGATTTGTTTTTAGTGGATTGCATTTTTGGGAAGTTTTGCCTTCTTTAAAATTTTATTTTTTCATAATAGCTAATTTGTAATAACCAATGTGGTGTTAATAATTGTGACTTCTTTTCCCTGATTTATTATATATTAAAGCCATCAGACTTTGTTTTAAGGTAAAAAGATAATAAAAAGTAATAAAAACAAAGAAATGACAATGTAATAAATTATTTTCTAATAATATAATATGTGACCCATCCCATCGAAATGAGGATTAACTCAAATTTGTTCAAAATKACCAAATCATAATTTCAGATTACTGGCTTTAATATCTATATTTTGATACTCGGATCATCCTGATATCATTAGTAGATCCCGAGATATTATTATATTTGTCTCATTGGTTACAATAATTCATAAATTTTTGGTCTAAATCCTAATTTTATGTAATTTTAATGAGGATTTTTATGCCATTTGATAAAGGAAACCTCAAATAGTATTTGAATATTGAGATTTCCCAGCTGGAAAKAAACACAAGCTTTGATAATTTACAGGGAAAATCTTAATATTTCAAGGTGTTTTTCTTCAAAATTGGGTTTTTGGTTGCCAATGTTCAAAAAAGTACGTCAAAATTTTTTTTCAGGATAACATTTAAGATAGTTCATTGAAATGATACATTGATAACACATTTATTTGTTACATTTTGACTAAATGTAATTTTTGCAAGCGTTTTAATCTAAACACTGTATCTGCCTGTTTCTACTCATCCCACATTTAGACTTAATCCTCGTTTTGATGCGATGGGTCACATGTTTTTTGGTTTTCACTTCCTGTTTTTTATAATGTACTTGAATGCTGGATAAATGTTAATTTAATTAATTTTTAACACAATTTTCTGCATCTGGTATTTAAAAGAGTGTCCATGTATTTCAGGCCATTTAAGAACATTTTGAAGACTCTGGCATAATGTTTGAAAAGAAAAGAAAAGAAAAAAATAAAGAAAACAAAAGAAAAGATAAAGAAAACAAAACAATAACTTGTTTGACTCCTCTTTGATTTAACCTTCAATTGACTTTCTGGGGCTGCTTTGCTGTATCTGACACAGGGGGTCTTGAATCTGTGCGGGGTACAATGAAATCTCAAGACTATCAAGGGATTCTAGAGAGAAATGTGCTGCCCAGTGTCATTAAGCTTGGTCTCAGCAGGTCATGGGTCTTCAACAGGACAATGACCTAAAACACAGCTAAAAACATCCAAGAATAAGAGGAAAATATTGGACTACTCTGAAGTGGCCTTCTATGACTCTGACCTCAATCCTGTTGAGCATCTTTGGAAGGAGCTGAAGCACGCTGTCTGGAAAAGACTCCCTTCAAACGTGAGACAACTGGAGCAGTTTGCTCATGAGGAGTGGAACAAAATACGTACATGCTGAGAGGTGCAGAAGTCTCACAGACAGTTACAGGAATCGTTTGAAAGCAGTGATTGCCTCAAAAGGTTGTACAACAAAATATTAAGATAAGGGTACCAACATTTCTGTCCAGACCTGTTTCATGAGTTTTATTTTTAAATTCTGTTGAAGCGTGGTTGAAAAGCAATGTCTGATTTTCACTTGTTCATTTTCATAGTATTTTTTATTTATTACAATTTTTGTCAGATTCTAGTTATTTCTGACACCATTGTGGGTTTTAAGTTCATTAAACGAAAGATACCAACAATTTTGTCCATGTGTGTATCTGTGACGCTGATACCTAACAAAATAGTTACAGATTATGTTTCAGTTTTTGATAATGTATCAATGATAAACTAATTATTTAGCTATGACACAGATAAAGAACACGCCTAAACACAAACAAGCCCCCTGCTGACACAAGCTATTAGTTAATTGTAAATACGTCAGCTGTTGACAAGACACAACACTGAGAATTTAATCATGTCCGAGGTTTGCTCCGTGGAGGAGAATGGACCAAGAGAATATCAGAACAGGACGAAAACAGATTATCAACGCCCCTGAGGCCATCAAAACCACCTCTGTTTTCTTTTTCACTTTGCTTTTCCTGCTTTCAAAAGCTCCGGTTCAGCTGCAGGGAAGCTAAAGAATCTGGAGCTCGAGGTATCTAAAATAATCATCTCAGTTCTTCGATTCAACTGGTAACCAGTGAAGTCGAGACAAAGATTTAAAGATTTAGTGGATTCTTTATAAAACATACATACATATCCTCCAGGAGGCTGGAACATCTGACATCATGTTCTTCTGTGTTGGTTTGGATTCTGTTAGATCCAATCATAATCAAATATTTAGCATTTAAGTTTTCTACAGGTTATAATATATGAATATCTGCAACTTTTTTTTCTATTTTTACAGTCAATATTTTTGGAGTGTTGCTGTGCTAAAGTGCTGTTCTGCAATGACAGATGATCAGAAAGGAAGTTTAATTAAAATTACTAAATTAAAACTAGACAAATATCCAGGGAAATTAYAAACAAGTTCACTTGAAGACTAACTAAATGGAAAATGATTGAAGTGTAAACGCTGAGTGCCAAATGACTGATGAAATTAGCTKAAGAAACTGAGAGTTGTTTAAGACAAAACATAGCAAGAAGCAGATAATAATAGCAAAGAGATAGCATAAGGCTGGATAAAAGCTAAATCATCTAGATAAATGCTTAAAGCTTAAATAAACAAAAAGCAAAAGGACTAAATGCCTGAATTAGCTGAAGMACAGCTTTAAAATTAAATTAGTCAAATAGCTAAAAATAGGATAAGAGGACAAAAACAAAGCAACAGATTTTAAAGAGAATAAGGTTTTTACATAATTTGAACAGATCTGTGTATTTCAATAAAGAAAACGTTTGCGAAAAAAAACACAAGTTAAATATTTAGAAAATCATAAATTACAAAAAAAAAGGCCAAAACGTCCATCTCCAGAAAAAGCTGAACATTTTGAGATATGAATGGCTAAAATGCCACAAAGCAGGCAAAAGTTAGTTTGCAAAAACATCATGTAAATATAAGAAAGAAATGAATTAAACAATTCGGTTAAATTTAGCTTAATTAAATTATATTATAATTTAACTTTGTTAATTCCAACTCAGGTCAGTACGGCTGTTTTAATTTAGTTTGACTCTCATGCAGTCTGAACAGTTCATTTAAATCGTCAAGAAAAACTAGTCATTTTTGATTTGAAACTACAGAAAAACACAAAGAATTACAATTTTTTAATTGAAAARTATATTTCTTTTAAGATAAATACTGTAGCAAAAAAAAATAAAACAGTTTTCCCGCCTTTTTAAGTACTGAATGTACTGAGTACTCCGCACCCACCTGCCACTGTACCCCTTAATCTCGTTCACCCCCCCCCCCCCCAACCCAAGAGGCCTGGTCCTCAGCACCAGAGCAGCCTTGCTGATTTGGTTTCACTGTCTTGCGGGGCAAAGACGAGGGCAGTCAGCACCATAGGAGCTCTGCGACTCTAGAACACTGGTGGTCCGGGACCTTTCTGTGGGACACCTGACGCTGCACAGGTAAGACTCTGGAGTAGGGTGAGGGTTAGACAATCCAGACAAAACCTTCTCACGTGGGCTTCGGGTGTTTACAAAGAATCTGACACTCATGATCAATAAACTGTCAAATAATCTGAGATTAAATTCAAATTGAAGCAGACATGTGGTTAAATTTGAGTTTTGTTTTCATCATCTGTCGGCTCTGCTGGCCTTTCTAGACCTTTATAAGTGGATGAGTTAGAAAGCAGAAAATCCTYCATCATTGCCAGACAAAATCCTTACATTTCTAAATTGTGATGCCTTAATTGATGAACTGACATGTGACGCAAACCAAACTGAAATCCGACTTTTTTTCACCTTGTGACCTAGGCCAGCAGTCAGTACGGAATGTAGTCCTTTGCGGTGGAGTTTTTAGTCTGCAGGGATGGATGTATCTGAGAATGTGCTGACTGATGCCTGTCCTCCTCAGCTGTCCTTTCGAGACATATCTGGAGCTAAAACAGGCCGGTTGAAGGGGGACAGGAGCACCTCTTCTCTTAGAGAGTCGGTAACAAGACCCAGGCCTCTGCATGCAACTCCTGTGGCCACCACCGCTTCCTCCGTCTCGCACTTACCCCCCGACGTTCGAAAAAACACCTGTAATCTCCAATTTATTAATCCTGCTGCCACCGGCTCGCAGAAATCACAAGAGAGGAGCCTTTTGGGCACAAATCGAATGTGCGTTGGTGGCATACTTGTATGTTTTGTGCTGATTACTGTCACACTCACCGCAGAGCTATAGAACATGTGCTCATAAAAATAGCTCACACAGGACTGAATGCCCAGCTAGGAAATGAGCTTCAATTACAGTGGATGAAAAGCAATTACATTAACTGCCTCCCTGTAGACAGGCCCTTCTGCTTTTTTTTTTCTTTCCTCCAGCTCTGGGACGCACCTCCAGGTTTATATAATTGCTTTCGACCTGTTCATCTGACAGCGACGTACTGCCTGCGCCCCATCTGAGTGCTTAGTCAAAAGAGACTCAAGCTGCCTCCAGGAATTAATGTCCGCAAGGGTGCGTGGGGGTTATACAGCACGTTTAAAGTGAGCTTAACTTGATTAAGGAACCCGCTGAGGATTTTTGCCGAAGCCCACTCCAATCTGAGGAGAAGTGCACCTTCATTATGACCCAGATCTCCTGGGGAATAAGCTCGTGTCTTCTTAGATGGGAGCCGATAGGTTTCACACACTTGTTGTCTCGAACATCGCAGCTCATCCGATCAGCAAGAAACCGTACAAGTCAGACAAATGGAAGCCGCTGTTCTTAAGATTAGATTAAGTCCCACTTAATTGATTCTCAATTTATTGACGAGACAAAGATGAAAGGAGGAGCAGAATGTTCTGTAGGAAAATGTAAACAGGAATAAAGAGCTACGTGAAGAGAAACGTTCAATGCTTTTTCCACACTTCACTGAATGGTGACAACACCTTTATTCCATAAGCGATTTTTATAATGTAGCTGCTAAAAGAAAGAGCTTCTTCCTGTTTTAAAGGGAAAGGCTTTCCTTTGAGTTCCTCCTTGAMGGAAAGTGGTCCTGCTTTTAATCACGATAAGCAATTAGAGCTGTTTTTGTACCAATACTGCAGAGTATTTGTAACATTGGCAGTAATAAACACTTTTTTTCAAGAAAAAATTTGTGAAAAAAAGAAGCTTTGAATCCAATAGTTAAAGGCACTGTTTTAAAAATAGATCTCAAATGGTTACTTAGAGCCAGAGGCTTCTGTCGAGGATGACTCACAGCTACTAAACCCCAGGTCAATATCTGTTTCTGCTGTACACACATACAGAAAAAAAAAACAGACGGACAAAAACACCATTACCCCGGTGCCTTTTGCTGCAGGCAAAACTTACCTAAATTCTGTTTAAAACAGTTGGTGAAGCAGTGTGATCATTYAATGGTATGTTCTTTATATGGGAAACTTTTGTTTTATCCTTTGCAAAAAGATCCAAATAAATGGCATAGGTCTTCTTGAAGGATACGTTTTTTTTTTGTTGAAACATTCCATCTCTTTTCTAAGAGGCTTCATCAGTCTGAAGACCTACAGGTAAACTCTGCGCTTTAAGCAGAACTTTCACATGGTGGACAAACAAGTTTAACAATGACAATCAGAAWGGTTCACATGCAAAACAGGGCCRTCACCTAACAATAGATCTTAGTGCTCTGGTTATCCCTGTTGTTCACAGAAGACCATCAGCCTAACTATTGTTAGTGCTCTGATTATCACAGAGGTCTGAGTCATATTGGTAATAACAGCATTGTAAGAGAGGGGAAAACGGAAMAAGGAGAACTCCACTGCTGTTTAATAACAGGTTGTTTCTCTTCACAACAATGYCTTCCTTTAAGCTTGGATTATACTTCAATACGAAGTGAGACAGCAGGTCGGTGATTGTGTCATTTTGGATGTCTTTTTCCTGAGCGAGTGTAAATGGGCTGAAGACACGGCGGGCCATAAATTAAAATAATTCCTACCTCTGCCCACTCACAGCTCATGTAAGTTTATAAACAGCAATAATGATGCCTGGATATTGTTTTTTT